GCCGACAAAGGTGGCCAGATAGTCGTCATGGATAAGAACACTTACATCGATGGTGTCACTAAACTCTTAAACGAAGGACCATATAATCCGATCCCTAAAGATCCTTCACCTTCGGACTTATCCAAAATAAAAACTGCGATCAAATCTTCGCAAATCATTTCAAGCAACTTAAAAAATTCGCTTATCCCCATCTGTTGCGAAATTGTGCCAGATTATATGCTCTTCCCAAAATTCATAAAAGGTATTCCTTTCTTCCCTATTTATCAAATTTAGGTACTGCCTCGTATCCATTAGCTAAATATTTAGTTTCTAGATTTTCCACTCTATTAGGCAATAACTTACACCATAAAAAATTCAATAGAGTTTGTAAAAAAGGTTAAAAACATTTCTCCTAGTAATTTACTCATGGTTTTTTTTGATGTAAAATCATTATTCACCAATGTCCCAGTGGAGGGTGCATTAAGATGTCTAGAAACCAGACTTCGCGAATTTCATTCTCTTGCATCGAAATTGATGAGCTAATTCTCTCTCACTCAACTCTGTTTGAAACAAACACATTTTGTTTTCCAAAATAAATATTACAAGCAAACTGAGGGATTAGCCATGGGAAGCCCCCTCAGTCCCATCCTGGCTGATATCTACATGCATTATTAGAATCAAAATTGTTTGAAACTTAAACTTCCGGCATGGTTCCGCTACTTAGACGATACTTTTACCCTGTTGGAAGGTAATAAAGATGATTTAAATAAAAGTTCTTTCAACAATGATTCTATTGATCTGCTATTCAGTTCACTTTGAACTTGACTTGCAATTCTCTTCCGTTTCTCGACTTCTGGTCACACGTAACACATCCAACTTCAGTACTACGTTTACCGTAAACCTTCATCGGTTTGCCTTCCACCACACTTTAAATCATGTCATCCGACTAAACAAAAGTTAGCTTCATTTATTCCTATGTTTTCCGTGTTCTTCAAGTTTGCTCCTCCAAACTGCCCTTGATGAAGAACTAAATTATTTAAAAGCAATAGCTATTGACAGGCTTTTCACCCAACATTATTAATCAAGCAGTTAAAAAATTTCCCTCTCAACACACTAAAGCCACACTCTTATTTTAGGAGATTATAAATTCTTTGTCATTCCCTTTTTCCATCAATTACTATAAAGTTGCACATATTTGCAGAAATTTAACTTTCGGGTTGTTTATTTCCCATCATAAAATGCCAACTTCTATACTCAAGGACCCATTCCGGATATTAATTCCTGGGGTATTTTATAGATCCTTGCCATGTGGTTTAATTTACATTGGCCAAACTAAGAGAGCCTTAAAATTTGCTCAAAGAACATGAGGCATTGTAAAAAAAAGGAAACACAGAAGTCTTCTGTTGCTTAAATTGTTGGTCCGAAATTACAGTTTCAATTTTTCTGCTGCCAAAATTATTCAAAAAACATCTTCCATTGGAGAACTGATTTCTAGAGGCATTTCACATTCATAAAATCTTTCTGTTCTAGTTAACGATCCTAATTCCAATCCAAATTTGCCTTCGGCTTTTAGAGAAATTTTTTAGTTCTGGTTTCGCCAAAGATGGCCCACTGCTTATTCTTGTCCAGGCTTTCATCTTATCTACCATTTTTCCTATCTTGTCATTTGCGGTTTGCAGCTGAAGATGATGGTTCGGTAAAACCATCGAAACTAGTCCGGTGAAAATTTTGTAAATTAACGCTGATTTTTGTTGTTTGACTTCTGAATTAGTATTTATTCGGCGTGTTATTGTGTCTTAATTAATTATACTGATGTCTTAATTTAATTATGCTGGGCATACTCTTATTTAATTATACTTATTTGTTTGAAAATTATCAGTTACGTATATTATGAAGTATAATAAACTGATACATTATTAGAGAAGGACGATAAAGATTTTAAGAAGACGTACATTATTTTAAAATTTCTGATCTTTTTTTTAAAGCATGCGAACTACGTTAGAATTTGAAAGATTAAATGTTATGTTAAATGTTTCCCTTTGAGATATGGCAGCAACTGTGAGAGTTCTCAGTCCGGAATGATAATTAATAACATGACGTCACAAAAGTGAAACCAAGAAAATGTCAACAAGGTAACGTCATGACTTATCATGGCTGCCATACAGCTTACGGAAAAGACTTCGAAACATATTGTTAAATAAAATTACACTGAGAGCAAATATCAACGTCCACAAGATCAGAAAAGTGTTAGGCATAATTTGCATAAAATAGCATTGAAACGTTCACTGGTCTTCCAGGTTTTATCATGTATACGTTTATCTTACACATTTGTCTTTACACATTTCTCTGTACCTAGATTTCATTAATTTTGAAACAGTTATTTGCAGTTCTTGTGATTTTTTTTTTTTTTTTTTTTATATACTAAATAGAAAATCGATTATGCTAAGTATTAAAATTAGAAAGAAATGTTCAATGGTCTATAGGTAACATACAGATAACACCAATTAGAATATAAAGAAAACCAACCAGAAGTCCGCAGTGGCCGTTATAACATGGATCTTATAAGAAATAGACTAACCCAGACGGGTTTCTCCCTTGTCTGAGGCGTTGCCGGCTGTCACCTTGATCACATCCGGAAAAGTAGGGACGACTTGCAGAAATTTAACATAAGTTGCCTATTGCAGCGTGTGTAATTGTCAAGAAAAAGCTGGTTGTAGCGCCTCATTTCACAAATTAGAATTTCTACATACTTTTATTTTTGAAACTGAGATTGATTTAAAAAATAGCATATTTATTAAGCATAATTAACGTTCCAAATAATTATAAAGGTTTTGCATGCTTTTAGGGCTGGATATTTTTTTAGCTTGTCCTATGCTATAAGGAAATTTGTAACTACTTCTTTTACAACATAATATTTTAAATCTGAGCTAATAGAAAATTTCAAACAAGCAATTTTCTCTTCCAAATTTTATGCCTTTTATTGGTATAAATAAGTAAAAATACTAAAATATTAAAACGAATTTTTAAAAGTTTGTTAAATTCTAAATTATGCATTTTTTAAAATTATAGATGAGTTTTAGCACCAATCTATATAGGAATTTTATTTCTTATATTTCATAAACTCATGGCGATAAACACTTTTGTCTCCTTAAAAGTTTTCAACATTTAATTCTAATATTAAAATTGTATTAACCGTAATAATTAATTGCTTGTATTTTATAGTGATTATTTTTTTAATTATTTTAGTTCTGCATCAGATTTTTTTATTTACTGTTATTTATTTATTAGCCTAAAGGGCGGTAGCCTAGAAAGGCTGTTAGTTTCGAAAGCGGCATTTTGCGCTGCTTACTATAAAGCCGTGTCTCCTTGCAAAATTGTTGTTACCCAAATATTATCGCCCTGTTTACATTAAAATTAAATAATGAAGATCTGCATGAATACATGAATTTCTCGCACTGTGACAAAAACGACAGTATAGCCTCAAATTTTGAATAATGTAATCGTCCACCCGACCATGGGCATCCGGACGGCCGAATTTCGAATTTGTTTTAATCTATTTCATATTTTGTAAGACTTCAGCGAATTTTTGAGTAACAAACCTGAAAGAGTTAGAGCGACACTGTACGGAAAATAACAGTTTTTCTCCAGTGCGGAAATTCTAAAGATATGCGCTTTTCAAATGTATGTGTTTTTCGGGTGAAGAACGATTTCAATAACTAAGGCAATAACAAAACGTTTAAAAAATTTTTCTTTGGGCGTATATAAAATGAGAGTTCTAGATTTTATTTATCTTTTCCCCTTCCATTATGCTCAGAAAATTTTATGCTCCGCAATTTTATGAATTATTAAAATAACTAATCCATTTTAATGTTATATTAATGATCATGTAATCAAATAAATATGATCGTTTGTAATGTTAATATAGTTTGAAAATCACTGCCTGAAAAATGTTCATTAATTTTTTAAAAAAATTATCAGATATTGTTTAATTTTACCCTTATTTATTTCAAGCATCACGTACTATCAATCTTATTTAATTTTACTTATTTTTACTCAAAATTAGTTCATAAATTTTGTGCTTAGAATTTTTATCGTTTACCAAGTAAAGATGTTTGTATAAGAATTAGCGTGAAAAAAAGCGCGAAATGCAGTAAAAAGTGCTTTAATGAATATATATTAAATCCTATTTGAAAAAAAACTGTGACTGGCATAATCCATCACTATACAACGTATCACATTTAAAATAATTAAAAAGACTTATGTGATACAAACGCCATAGGTTTCAATGTTAAAGCTAACCAGATCGTCCCTACTCTTTCTTGCGGACATGTCGGTGACGCGCGCCCCGCCCACTGGGTTAGTCTATTTCTTATAAGGTCCATGCGTTATAAGTCGTGACGTCATATCGTGACTTGTCATGGCTTCATTTTCATTGTACGAGACATACAGTGAAGGCATACTCCATTTATTCCAACCTCCTTTGTTCTTTCTCTGATAAAAAGGGCTAAAAATTTGAGTTAGCTGAAATTCAAAGATCCACATTATATTGCTAGCTTTTTTGGTATAAAATAAATAAGTGCATCATGAAATTCAATAAAAGTTCTAAGTGTTAAAGAAATGTGCAAAGTTTGCTACATTTTGAGAAATAAATTGAAAGATCTTCTTCCATAAATATGGCAGCAGCTCCGAGAGTCTACAATCGAGTGATTAAATAATGTATTATTAATATAATACAACGATATAAAGAAAATAAATAGAATAGATTACTACAGAAAAGATTAATCTTATGTTTATGGTTTAAATGCAAGTTTGATAATTTAAAAAAGCTTAAAATTTTCAGTCAGAAATAATCTGAAATCACTGTAAAATTTACCGAATAATAATAACGAATACACTGCATTTTGTCTGTAAAGTAAAATCTACTTCTCTTTGTGAAATGTAAATAACCTCTTTCCATAAAATTTACTAAGCGCTGAAAACTACTATTACTACTACTAATAATAATAATACACAAAACAGCATTTTTTATAAATTATTTTATTCCATTGGTACAATTATTTGAAATACCAGTATCAAACTAATCATTACATTGAATCAACTTCAGAGAACTGTCTTTCAGTTCATCTAAAGAGTTTATTTTTCTTACATTTATTCTTTAACATGCAAAATATTTCTGCATAACTTTTAGATACATGATTTAGAAAATATTTCCTCCAAGGAAACACATGTTGCAAAAACATATTTGCATTTATTCGCAATAAAATACGCTAAGTATAATAAGTATTATTACCTTCTCACTTATGTACCACAAAACTATTTTCATGATAAACTAAAAAAAAAAAACATAAAAAAGAAGAAGAAATTCACCTCAAATTTCCTTTTGTTCGATACAAAACGTTTAAAAATATAAGAAAAAAATTTTAAAGTAAATAAATTGTTTTTTACTTGCAGGTTAATAAACTGTGAAAAGATTGGATATAAGTCTCGTTAAAGCACTCGTAACTAAATATTGTTATATTCCATGCTTAAAAATACAATTTCTAAATTAAAAATAATGCAGCATTAATGAAGTAAAACATTATTAAACGTAACACTTGAAGGAACAGAAAGAGTGTACGAAGTAATGAAAACAAAACAAATATAATAATTATTATTATTTACATTTGTTATGCTCTGAAAGAAAGCAATAGAACCCGTATGAGAAAGAAACGTGTGTTAAATATTCCCTCTCCAAGTTTTCAAAATACTCACAAGCACTTGTTTATGTATTTATTAACTTAAACTAGAGCCTTTCAAACTGTTATGCGTGTTTCATGAAAGGTACATTAATCACGCTTCAGAGTTAATGTAAATAATTAAATAAAATTTAATAAAAATTCATTATGAAATGAATCAATGTATATTAGAACTTTAAATTATCAAAATTTCAGATATTTTAAACTCTAATTATGAAGCTTCTAGACGCCGAAACTTTAAATTACGATAACAATGCCGAGATTTCAATTATCGAAAATCCAGGAATTATAAACTCTAGTTACGCAGTTATATATATTCGAAACTCAAGTCATCGGAATTTCTGCTATTCTGTTGTAAGCATTCCAGATATTAAAATACCCATAATCGGGATTTCAGGCATTCGAAATCCCAATTATCGGGAAAACGGATACCGGAAACTCTCATGATCGAAATTTCAGATATCCGAAATATCAGTTATCCGAATACCCCGAATTCTAGATACTTAACTCCTGTAATCGGAATTGCAGATGTCAAAAACTCTAGTTATACAGACTGCTACATCTTTTTAAAGCCAAGAAAAACTGCAGTTACAGCTAGGTACAGCTAAGGTAAATTTAAATGTTTCATTGAATCAAATGATGTAAAAAGTTAATATAGCTCAATACGTAATTTTAAGGAGTTGTTAAGATTAATTTAGGTGACTTTGCTTACAATGTTCGGAAAATATTGTATTCGATAAATATTATTAGAAAAGAAATACGAGTACATACTTATGAGAACCACTCATGATTTTAGACAGTTTTTCATTTTATAAACTAGAACAAATTAACGTTATTGCAAGGTCCCATTTTGTATTGTGTTTCGCTTAAAAAATGTCTTTTGTTTAATTTTAGAGCAAATTATTTATTTAAGGCTGCGTAAATTAAGAATAATTCTGTTGTTTTATTTTTGCTCAAGATTTAATTTGGTCATTAGGCAAATTTTATTTTTACTGTTCAATTTTCTGGAAAAGAAACATGCTTTGTACTTTGCTTTTTAGAAATAAAAATATTTTGTATTACTTCTGTAAAACATTTTTTAAAATAAAATAGCATAAAAAATTCCCTTACTTCAATTACAATAAATACAAATTTCACATCTGAAAAAAAGACAGCTTAGCTATCTGCATTTTCTGAATATTAGTATAATTCCAGTTATTCCAAATATCTGAAATTCTAATATAATTAACCGAAATTAAATAAAAACATTAGCAAGAACAGTCTATTTGTGATTAGCAGCTATCGCTGCATTCGGATTCAGTATACATGAAAGTAAGCACATAAATTTATCAAAAACTTCAGCACTCAAATCTTTCACAGAAGTTTTGATAAAAATTATAATGCAAAAATGATTAGAATCTAATGCATTGGGCATTTTGAAAATAACCATTTTAGAAATTTGTATTTCATAATATGTTCATTAGTGGGTTAGTTGTAGAACAATTTACGTCTGACACTGTGCCAAAGACAACGGAATAGCCTTTAAATTCTTCAAAAATATCTTTAAGAGTAAAAAAACCGGCATCATCGTCGGCCCGGCAGCTATTTTAAATTTGGGACACTTCACTGAAGAGAAAATAGACTTCACAAATATTTTACTCAAGGTCTACGTGCTTCGTTGCCTTTGGGTATTTGTATTAAAGGTCAAAAAGTGATGTCCGCTATGAAACTTTCATGCAATATTCTTTCCTTCTTTAAAATATATTCTACAAGCTTAAAGGATTCAAAGGCGTAAAAATTGTTGGAGAAGTTAAAGCAACAAGAATTAGCGTAATATTCATAAATTTGCAAGATTAGTTTCGAAAGTTTAAATGCACATGCTTCATCCTCGACTGTAGAATGAATATTGCGTTGATTTTGTTGCTTTAAATCCTCCAATAATCGTTATTCGGCGCGCTATTTTAACTCAGAAAGGCATACAAAAATAAAAGTTGAATGTTTAAAATGCATTTTAGTGATAAAAACTCGGACTTGATTCTAAATTTGAACGAAACATAAGCTTCAAGTCACTTCAACGAAGCTGTCCTTATGATGACGTAAATGTTGAAATTTCTCAATGCAAAATTTTAAATGCATTTTGAATTCCTTCATCATTGCAGGTATCATCTCGTTTTTCAATATTCAAGAATGTTCTCTCTTGTCTAGACATCTTGAACTGCAAAGAACTCCACGGGATGATCTATAACGAAGCCCATTTCTCGAATCCAGGGAAAGTTGAGTTGTTGACACTTTGTTTTGCCTGTCATGGAATTGGATGTGAGCTAACCAATTAGCAGTTTGTGTGAACTTCATTGAAATCTGAAAAATCTGCAGCGATGACAAAGTTTATGCCAGAATAACTGCAGCCCTTCAGTCAGTTGGACAGACGCATCAACGAGGAGCTTGAAGACCGTGCCTGACTTGTTGGCAAACCATCTGCAGTGATGAATGGGTTAAAATTAGTTCTTTGTTCTAGAGCACCTTTTCGATGACAACAAGTGGTGAAAGCTAAAGAGCGTGCAAATTGTCGCATGATTTACTGGTCATGCAGGTTCTCCTCCAAAGTCTTTTAATGATGCATGTGGCTTTGTTGCGAGAATTTTGAGTGTTTCTCCCGCTTCTTTTCTTCTGTTTCTCTGCGATCTTTGCTTTTATGCGGATTTGGGTAATGATTCCAACTAATAGCTCATCTAGCTGATGGTTGATAGCAACAGAAGTTTCAATAAATTTGCATCCACGTTCTTTTGCCAGTGACCGTCCTTCTGTAACATTCAGAAACATTAATGTTATTCATAACAATCAAAAAGAGTTTTTCGTTCTTTCAGAAATAATTATGTTATTCATAACAATCAAAATGGGTTTTCATTCTTTCAGAAATACTTATGTTATTCATAACAATCAAAATGGGATTTCATTCTTTCAGAAACATTAATGTTATACATAACAATCAAAAAGGGTTTTCTTTTTTCAGAAACATTGTTATTCATAACAATCAAAATGGATTTTCACTCTTTCATAAACATTAATGTAATTCATAACAATCAGAAAAGGTTTTCTTTCTTTCAGAAACATTAATGTTATTCATATAATCAAAATGGATTTTTTTTTCATTCTTTCAGAAATATTAATGCTCCATAACAATCAAAATGGGTTTTCATTCTTAAATAAGAACAATGTAACTGTATTTTTAATTCTGCTCAAACACTTAAATATAGTTAAATGAAATTAAATTTTAAAATGTGTACTATTATATTATGAAGAATTTCTATGCATGTTTGTAAGCGTATACATTTGTTTTTTCCTCGGGCTGTGATAAATGGCGGCGCGCCTAGGGCTACCAATTTTTGAACGTTCATAGTTGTCTACACGAACATGTGTCCATCGAAGTCTTGTGAAATGGAAGTGAAAAAATGTTTAAACCTGATATATAAACCAATCGTTTACTAATTTTTTTATGAAAGCTAGAAAAATGTAAGAATAGGTGTAACTAATTAAAAATGATAAAAACTGAAAAATAGGAATAATACTAATTAACTATAATTATCTTTTGTTTAATGTTTCAAGCAAAACTTTTCAAGAGCTTAGTATTTAAGACATAAAACTAGAACTATTAATGAATGGCGATATGTTTCGTTCTTCTTGATATTAAGCGACTCTAACCGGTATATGTATATATGACAAACTAAAATTTTGAAATAAGATTCAAATAAGTTCAAAAGACCAGAAGATATGCCAGGAAATATGAATCCTCTTCCATTTTCTAATATTTGTTTAATTTTGCAATTGTTTTACACCGTGGTTTTGTTAATATTTGTCCTTTATTTTTTCATTTTAACCGAATTTTTTTTTACTAGGATAGAAAACATTCGAAAACATGATACTTGTGAATGTTAAAAGCATCCAAGCGTTATTCAAAAAGAGACAAACTTCAAAATTTATTCAAAGGAAAATTGAGGATATATAAATAAGCATCACAATCAATATACGTTAATCGTCCGGGAAGCAAACATTCGACAACGTGATATTTAGATCAAAATGTCCATGTATTGTAAAGTATTATAAAAAATAAGTTATATGTATGCACGGGTTACTTTCAAGAAATTTCATGTAATACTGAGGATAAGTTAGCGTTATTTGAAAAGCGACACACCACAAAAGCAACTTGACGTAAGCGTTATGAGTGTTATAAAAATAACTTACTGTAAATGCTATAAGTGCTATAAAAACGTTATAAGTATCACATAAACAATCTATAAGCGTTATAAGATTTAAAAAACAAGCTATCCGTGCATTATTTGAAATGTGATTCGCTGAAATAATAATTCAACGCAAGCGTTATACGTGTTATTTGAAAAGTGATGTACCACAGGCATCACAAACGTGATTCAAGGCAATAGTGATAATAACTTATAAGCGTTATAAGTAGGTAAAGAGAATTATTTAATCTCTTTTAATTATTTCAAAGGCGAAGTACTTATAAATGATTTTTTAAGTTTATGAGTTTTAAAGAAAATCTTATTTTCTAAACACTTTGTCAGTAACATTTTATATTTTCGTCGTTTTAGCCTCACGTATCAATCTAATTAGCATACGTTACTTATCCAATTATTCATTGGAAAAATTATTTTTCAACAATGAATAATCCTTCTTTTACTTCCAAATAAAGGATAACAAGGAAAACAATGTGAGGTAAGGATATCGTAGCCTTGAAATTAAAGAATCAATACTTCACTTTCATATTATTTCACTACTGTAGCATACTTTAAAAATATAGAAAAGTCTTCCAGTTAATATGTTTTTATTATTCTAGTTTAAAAGGCGGGAAAGAATTTGTTTTATCACTTGTGACAATTTCAAAATTTTGTAAGGAATATGTTTTTATATTTTAAAAGCATGAATGTCAAACACTACGAAAAATTGAGCGTTTTCGAAAACTCGCCAAAAAACAGAAATTAAATTTAAAATTTCATGCAAACTTCATTTACGTTCCGCTCTATTCGATGGTGCAGACAATTAATTTTTGAATTTTTTTATTTCTTTGTTAAACGAAGATATGTGAGAATAATCTTTTCAGTATTAAATTTTAAAATAAATCTAAAATCGAATTTTGAAAAACAAAAGTCGCTTCACCGCACTGTCTTCACAAACAGCTTATCTACGAAATTTGAACTCGACAGTTTACCATAAACTAGTTTAAAAATCGGTGACAAACTTTTAACCACGGTAACAAACACCATGATTGAAGTAAATAAAGACTACAAAAATGTGGGGAATTTAGTATGACTGAATTTAATGTAATTATTCGTACCCTCATTGAATGAAAATTTATCGAAAGTAATATTTCTTGAGAAGAATAATTGTTTGATGTAATGAATGTTAGTTAAACTTCGGGGAAGGGGAAGAAAGTACAGCAACTTAAACTGGCTGGAGAAGAATAAATTTTGTGTTCTGAATTTTTATAAATATTCATTTGCTTGCTGAGTTTTATAATATAGGAAATATTATATTCCAGTGAAAACCAAAAATAAATTAGAAATAAATGCGGCAAAAATCAGAAATAATTCCAACTGAGATAACTGAGGTAAGTAGAGTTTAAAAGAAATTGCTTGTGGGCTTCATCTAAGAAACTGAAATTGATTAATAACTTATTAAAGTTATGTTACATTATTTCAGCTATTTTTAGAAGCGTAAAGTTTGTAGAGATATTAGGTATTTTTTTAAAGCAGAAGACATAAAAAATGAGCAAAGCTCTCGCCGGGACTCGAACCACGGACCTCTCGATACGCTCCGAGCGTGCTGACCATTACACCACGAAGGCATGTTAAGAAGACGGCAGAAATACTAGATAAGCTAGTTCGTAGGAAAACTTTCAATTTTTTTTTTTTTTTCCCATGATAATATTTCACTTTGGGATAAAAAAAATACTTTTTTACATTTTTTATTAGCCACGCATTACTCATAAAAATAAAACGATATTATTTTTAGTTCTCCATATACATACCAACAGTTGTGACGGTTCGAAGCCTTGCAAGGTCTGTTTTATTTCCCACCAAGATAGCTGCCTTTGATCCAAAAGTAGTCTCCAGTTTAGACAAAATCTGACGAGCTTGGATGTAACTCCTGCGATTGGTTACTGAATAGATGATGATGTAAGCATCTGGACCACTTTCTTTGTCACGTCCCTGAAAAACATTGACCAAAAAAAAAAAAAAAGAAAGAAAAGAAAAATCTGAAATGTTTCAGATTTTAAATTACGTCCAAAGGGGCGTTTTTTAACATTTTGTGTGTTACCTTTCTTTATTAAATATCATGTTCCTCGCACTTAAACCATAAGATCCAGTGCAACAGCAATATCGCAAAATAGTTTTAAAACGAGCATATCTTTAGAATTTCCGATACAGAGACTCACGCGCTGGAGATAAAAATGTTTTTTTTCTGCACAAACGTTGCCATTGCTCGCTTTGAAATCCTTGAGTTTGTTAATCAAAAATTCGTCAAAGTTTTAAAAAATAGGAAATCGATCATAAAACAATTTCAAATTTCAAATTTGGTCTTCCACATGCTCATATTCGTTGGAGGATTACGTTATTCAAAATTCGATGATGACTCTATGTACCGTTATTTTATGACAATGTGAGAAATATACATACATTTACGCAGATTTTCATTATTTAATTTCTTATTTCTTCAAATATAATGCAGGACTCTAACATTTTATGGCAACAGTTTTGAAAAGTGAACCGACATTTATCCGTCCGACGCAAAATGCCAAAACGAAACTAATAGTCCTTCGGGATTCAAATCCCTTTGGACTAAAAATGATAAAATTCACTAATGGGAAATCTACAGAAAATGATATGTGTTTTTACATAGTTAGTCTACTGCATGTAAACCATATATATTAAAGGAGCTAAAAATATGTATTTCGACTTCTTTCCTGCTAAGTAATTTTCATGCAGGATTCTACAAATTGCTTTGCGTGGAGCCACATGTCTCAATAAAGCTGATGTTTATGTTTTTGAGCTTTTTTAGGTTCTAAATCTTGGTTTATTATTTTATCTATTACTGCTACAAATGTATTTAAAGATTCTGTAATTGATTTCTGCGTCATCGAGTTTTCTCTTGTTACCAACACTTAACTTACGTTCTTAAACAATGGACTAAAAATATTTCTCTTCAGAAAGCATAAAATCAAATTCTTCAATTCACAGCTTGTTTACGAGCGACATTTTGAAATAAGAAGGAATTTAAAAGTAGCAGACGATATTTCAAATAGCGAGCTGCTGCCAAAAAAATTTATTAAAAAATATTTGCTTATCGAAATCGTTCCAAATATGTGTAAACACTCTCTGTGTAAATAAACACCCATTGTTAAGTTAACCGTAGTTTTTCTGTGCGCGCTTTTTTTTTTTTTTTTTTTTTTCACTTTCTAATTGTTTGGAAGTTTTAAGAAGGTAATACAACAGTGCTTTTCAATTTTCTTTCAAGAATTCGAAATTAAATATATTAGTGTGGCAAAATAAATAAACAAAAGTAAAAAAACAATATTAATCACAAAGTAGAATAAGTACATCAAAGGGGTTTTGATTGGGCTTATAAAAAGATTCGAACTCTGGAGCTCTTGACTGCTAGCTGTACTTGCTTTCAGCTACACACCGAAACCATGCGACAAGGAAGGCAATATTTTACATTTAAAGGGTGGCAGGGGAGAAGAGTATTCAATCGTCAAAACCTGGTAGTGACGAATGATCGTCCACCGCTTTTTAGTTCGGCCACAATTTGTAATTGCTTTGGTTTTCTAGAGCCAGGGAACATGAGAACTCTTCGACGCGCTGCCCGGACTCGAACTCCACTAACTAGACTTCGGAATCGAACTTCTTGATCATTCGGACTTCCTTCATGGCGTAATCGGTGTGTAATTCGTGGTGTAATTAGACGTGCTTCCTGTTACGCCATGAAGGCATGTGATAAGTAAGGAAAATATACCTTACAAATTAGCCAAACAAAAACCTATTCTTCGTACTTTTTGTATATTGTTCTGTTCTTATTACTCAAATATATCCTATATGCTCACGGATAAATGCAAATAAGGTAAGTCTTGATTTTATTGTATAGTTTATGGAATTTCTTAAATTTTTTAAGTACGCAAATTTATACGTTCATATATATACACGAACGACAATTCTTCTATTTAATTAAAATTTGTAACGCAAAAGTTTCAGTTGTCTGTTTCGGCGAAACGCGTAATGGAGTTAGCTTAATTCGACGTCCAGCTAGAAATTTCCCTTGAAAAGCCAGGTTGAACTTCGGATTAAGCTAATTTGCCATTTTCCTCCTTGTATTTTTGTATTTTTTTTATATGTTATGTTAGTTTTATGTTTTACTTGTACCATCGATTGGTTTTTCTATGTTTTAACTTTACACTTGTCACATCGATTGGTATTTACTGTATTTTTTGCCGTTACTAGTTTCCAAAGATTAGTATTTTACTTTGTTTAATTTAACGTGTAGCATATTTTTCACCCTTCAATGACATTGCTTTTTAAAAAAAAAATCTGTTGAACTTTTCTTGGAGCTACAGCTCCTGGTAACTTTTTGGCGAGCTTTCTACAATTTTTCTTATCTTTAATTTTGCAGCATATTGCGCAAAAACATTATTTAGACCAAATTGGTCTTACGTTATTGTACTAACTACCTTGCTTGTTAATTATATATATATATTTAAACAAATTTAAATTTAAATTTGAACAAACACGTATAAAAGTAAAAAAGCAAATTTAAAGCCAAAATAAAAAAAAAAAAGCCAAAATATTTTTTAAAAATGTGCAAACATATAAAAGATTTAATTCTCAAACTAATCTACAATATCATTTAAATTCAGAAGCATAAGCAAATCAAGTGCAAAAACAATCCATGAAAATAAATTCACTAATTTAGCAAATTAAAATTAAACCAAACAATTTTTTTAAAAAATGCATAAGTGAATGACTGTTGAGTAGGCAGGAGACAGACTTATCAAGGGCTATTTTTCTTTATTTTGGTTTTTGCTTTTTTACTTTTATACGTGTTTGTTCAAATTTAAATTTAAATTTGTTTAAATTTAAATTTCATTCCTTGCAGCAATGGCGCAAGGAATATTTAATTTAATTTAATTTGTATTTAAATTACATTTATTTAATTAAATTAAATTTATTCTTTTGATATATATTTTTACGAAATGTACAGGCGCGGTAAGATTGCTTCCCCGCAAAGCAGATGTAGGGTTGCCATAAAATGGCAAGGGAAGGCAGGGTTGCCACATTTGGCGAGAAATAGCCCATTTGGCAACAAAATTGGCGATATACCATGGACGGTTGGAGAACCTTCTGGACGCCTATTCTATGATCACTGGATCTGTCTACAACTTGAGCGAACAATATTGACTCAAAAGAACCGGTATGGACAGCCATCACAACTTATCGGAGAAAGCCATTCTGTGGTCCTCAGTTGGAGGCGGGTGGGTCCATTTAACTTTACTGGAAGGGGACAAGGCTTCAAGGAGCTTTAGACCAATCGCAGTACAGACGAGTGACGAAATTTATAGATAGCGCGCGCCTGGCTGAAGTTCTAAGAATATTCTCCCATTATTTCACTAACTCACACGCTGCATTTTTAGTTCGAAAAAAAAATTGCACAAAACAGTATTATGATCAACACGCAGTAGAATATGCTGCTGTGTTATGTGAAAGAAAATCTCGTTTTTTTAATGGGAAAGTTAACGCATGAATTTAGAGGTAAGAAATAAAGAGTGATATGGATACCATGAAAGCATGGTAAATAGATAAGAGTAAATGAAATTAAGCTTACTTCAAATCCTTTTAGAAATAAACAATTTTTAATTATTTAAATTTATAATATGATTAATTTGCATTACAATCTAATAGCAAAACTAAGTTTTTTTCTTTTTTTTTTCCCATGTTTACATTAAAACTGTTTTCCCGCAATTTATTTTACAGTTACTATTCGAAAAATATTTCTTTAAATAAGAAATTAGAAAGAAAATATTCTTTCTTAATATTTCTTCCCTTTTTTCTTTTTCTATGAAAATTATTTCTTTCAGGAAAAGAAATAAAATTCATTCGCTATTACAGTATGGCCGATTGCTGCTGCATTCAATTATCACACACCGCATCAAAATGCTTTATTTTAAATAATTATTCTATAATTACATGAAAGAAAATATTTTTTCAATATAAAATATATAACCAAAATTAAACTAATCTATCCTGTATGTGTGATTAATTCGTTTTGCAATTTTTGTCACACAATTACTAATACCTTTTTTTTCAATATTACATTGCTGTTATTTTAATTTTGTATATAAGAACTGCTGCTCAGTTTAAATTTCTTCCTTCTCAAAAGATTTTGTTCTGTGAAAATAATTAAAAGATAGTAATATTTTTCACAATGGAAGGAACTAAAGAGTAAAATAATCAGTGTAGGTCTCCTGCAGTTCAAGTTCCTTATCAAACCAGCGTTCGACACATTTTAAATAGAAAACTAATAATAATCAATCTCTTTTACAATATAAAAATGAGAATGCTATGAACAGTATTTTTATTTATTTATTTATTTATTTTTTAAGTTTGCAAAGGAACAATGATTTTTTTTTTAATACTATATAGGTTACAAAAGTACTATTCCATGAACAAACCCTCAGTCTTATAGCATTGTTACTTTATAGCATAATACAATAATACAGTATAATTCTGCTAACAAGCCCACCAGCCGCCGAGCGGTAGAGTCGCTGAACGCAGGTAGTTTGGTCCGAGATTCGAATCCCGCGAACGAGCTGGACGGCGTTTTCGTGGCTTTTTCCCATGTCCATGTGTATACGAGCCAGTTTCCCTTAAAAGTCCTCACTTAGAAACCAGTTTTAAAAACGTATTAAAATTACACCACACACACACAAAAAAAAAAAAAAAAAAAATCTGAAGGCTTTCAGATTTATATTACTCCCAAAGGGCCATTTTTTTAACGTTTTGCGTGTTACCTTTATTTATTAAATATCATGTTTTTCGCACTTAAACCATAAAATTCAATTCAACAGCAATATCATATAATTTTAAAAAAAAGCATATTTTTAGAATTTCCGATATATAGTCTCGCGCGCTAGAGATGAAAGTGTTTTTTGCCATTGCGC